TAAATAGCTGTGCCACACCTTTTCCAGAATTTCTGGGAAAAAGACAACAAGTTGTAACATTTGGTTTGTTGCAAATTGTCACGTAAACAGAATTGTCTGTCTGTCTCTAGAATTGTGATTATCTGCATAACAAACTTTTTTTGTTGAGTGGAACTTTTAATGAAGTGACATAATTTCAGTTTCTTCTAGAACATATATTTATATATAATGTATACATCTTTTAAATGCTAATAAAACAAACTTTTGTGAGGTTCCTGATTGACCTCCTAAGAGCCTAGATCTCTAAATCATGTAGTCTGTCTGGCCACCTGTGTTGGAAGCAGGTCAAGTAGCAACAGCTTAGAAAGGTTCTTGAGGAGAATGGGAAAACTTCCATTGCATAGGAGAGTGTGTAGATGGAATGGTTTGAAATAATGGAAAGTGTGAAGAACAGCAGTTTTATTTACTTTACAGAATAAACACTTTGATTAAGAAGCAGTTACGCTCCATACCTGGGGAGATGGACAGGTTTCAAGTTTGAACTTCAGCTGAAGACTGAACTGTTTTCACACGTGATGAGGTCAAAGTGTAGCCTGAACAGTCAGAATATTTCCAGATCTTGCCACAGTTACATCACATTCACTGTAATGTACTTCTGTCACGTAGGAAGGTCATTTCACAAGTTATTCATAGACTCTGGATTTAGCCTCTGGTCAGCTCAGACAGCAGCTGTGTGGCGTCTCCAGGTCATGTGATCACCTCGGGCCTCGGTCACTTAGTTATGTTTATGCTGCATATGATTCATTTTCTTCACCCTGACCTATAAGCCCTCACTGCTGCCTGACGTTTTCACACCTGCACTTTTTAAAAAGTGTTTTTTTTAATTAATTACACACTACTTCACTTTAACAAAATGGTCATATGTTTTTTTTTTGTTTTTCTTTCTTTTCAATGCACTTTTACCTTCATTAAAATTAAATCCAGTCCCTTTTTGTGTTTGGATTTAAGGTGAAAACCGAGACAACGGCTGATTTAAACATCCAGCATGAAGAGAAATGTGAAGCTGCTACTAAGGAACATGAAAAAGTCATAGAAGGTAACTGAGTTTTAACATTAACATTTTTAGGCATAGAAAAAAACTGACGTGACTCTGAATGCAGCACTATATCAGGACCTGCCAGCCTTAACTTCATATTCTCTATAATTAGTGTGTTAGCTTTGAGCTAACACACTAATTATAGTGGCGCTGATAAATGTCAAATCGAGTTGCAACAGTTAAGAGTGTGAAAAACATATTTCCTTTGATACCAGACTACACATTAAGAACAAACATTTAGGGTTTTTTGCCTACAATTTTTTACGAACAACAATATGAAAACAGACCGAATATTTCACATCACTGTGTTTGGTTTTAATCTGGTTGTCTTTGAAGAACTGAACCTATTCACTGACTTGAGACACATGAGGAATGTGGTTATGCGTGATACTGTGAACCTATGCAGACCTGGAAAGTCATTTTCCTCTGGCTCCTCCTGCAGGACACACGTCATAACTGCAGCAGTGATAAAACAAAAACTAATGACAAAAACAGCACTGTCCACCTTAGTGCATGAATTAGATATTACTGAAATAACATATGGAGAAATGGACTGACTCGCCTTTGTGTTAACATTATCTAATGCTTCCTGTTTACTTAATCACACTAGCATGTTCTAACTTAACTTAATAAAATCAATAATATTGTTTGTTTTTATGTTTTTTTCAGAGCTGAAGAATAATCACCAGCAAGAGAAAAGTCAAATGACAGAAAACTTTCTGGCAGTTGAAAATATCCTCAAGGTGAGAGAGAGCCCCGAAGATCAGACCAACACTGTGCCACCTACAGGAAAGAAAAAGGAACAGCACCAACAGCTTAAAACATTAAAAGATCTTAAAATATTTTCACACTTACAAAGTTTTTTAATTGAAAAGAAAAAACATTAGAGCTAGCACATTTAATCAAATTACATATTTTAGATCCATTGCCAGCTATTGCTGATTTTTAGAAGGAACTGTGATTGTGTGCTTTCAGACTTTAACCTTTTATTATTATTTATGTCTTTTGATCCTTAATAAATGCACATGAAATTAAGTAATTCATTATTGTCAGAAATGACATGCCAGACAATTATACTTTAATATCAAATCTTTTCTGTTCTCCTGTCTGCAGGCTGAGGTAGAGTCATTGACAGCAGAGCTGCAGGTTTATAACGAGCTGAAGAGGAGAGTAGAAGAGTCAACTTTTAAGAAAGACCTGCAAAGAAACATACAGGTGTGTGTTTTTGTGTTGGTGTGTGTGGTTGGTTGGTTGGTTATTTGGTTGGTTTGTATTTATGCATGCATTCATGCATGCATGCATGCATTCATGCATGCCAGACTCTCCAGTCCATAGACGTTTGGTAGCCTCATTGTTTGAGTGATATACACCCGCTAGAATCAATAGACCTATCTAGGCTTGAAGGTCTACCATGCACTCATTCACCTTAAAATACTTAGCTATGTCCATTTTTGTTGTTAAAATTCAGAATTTTTTTAATATGCCAACTTTTGATCACATTATAAATCCTATACCAATAAGTCCCTGAACAAATCTCCAAAAATAAGTTTCTCAAAAATACAAGTGCTTAGGAGAGGTCACTTTTTTCTGATGCTTTGCAATCTTTCCTGAAAAACTATAACTTGACTTAAGAAAATCCATAATGTAATAGTAAATCTTTGCCACCTATAATGTCAGGTGTGGAGATGTCACAGCATCATGTAGATTTCTTTACCAGTTTGTGAACTCTTGTGTAAATGTCTTCAGTTTTAGTGGAAACATTATTAGTTTTTGTCCCACAGTGACGCCTAAGTCTTCTTTCACAACGCAGGCACATGGAAGCCCAGGTGCATTCTGGGAGTCAGAGCAGGAGTCACTTCTGTTTGTCATCGAGATGAAGAGCGAGCGAGTGCAGGAGCAGACCAAGAAGCTGCAGCAGATGGACATGCTGGTAAATCATTGGCACTAGATAGTTCTATGTTGGGTGCATTGCCACTGTTGTTCTTCACTTCATGATGTTTCTGTGTCCCAGGTGGAGAAGAATTTGTCTCTGGAGGATCAGATTATTCACATTCTACAGCAGAACGAGGATCTGAGAGTTCGCATCGATAACTGCCAGACACTGATACAGTAAGTGCTTTAGACTCTCATCAATATCTAATTTCTGTTCAAATTAGAAACCAGTTGTTATTATTAGGATGGAGGGTTGGGGTTCTTTTGTAGCACTGATTTAATAGATAGACTTATTTTAAGATGGTAAAATATGACATTTGATTCATTTGCACCAAAGATAAAACAGTTCCCTAGACATTAAAAAACTTCCATCTATCATCTTTGAGAGTATGCATGTTTTTAAAATTTATATATTTATAATATGTTTTTCCATAACATTTTAATTTCATGGTGTGTTTTTTTTTTCTCAGGCAATTTTCCAAGGAGCAGAAGGACCTTAAGGTGGCACTGGAGAGACAGGCATCAGTCAACCAGAAGCTCTCTCAGGAAAAAGAGCAGCTGATGTTCAAACTGAGGCACAAAGACTCGTGTCCGACCCTTCACTTGCCTGCTATGATGCAGGAGATTGCCCCACGGTGACTCTGGGCAGTGCCATTGGATCCTATGTGATCCACCCTGACCCTGTTCACTCACACTGGGTCAAAGCCACAAGTTAAAGTGACGACTATTAAGGGGCATCATCACATTGCAGGTTTAAAAACTCTGGACCTATATTCTCTTATTAATGCTGTGGGTTTTTACCACTGAACACAGTTCTGGACTCATTGAGGCCTTCACACTGGACAGAGTCTGACTAGCTTAAAGGGACAGATCACGTTTAAGTTAGTGTTAAACTTATACCAGCCCTTCTCAAATTCACGATCAGATCAAAAATCTACTATGCCATAAAAATTGATAGTTTAAGGGATGTCACGGTAATTGGTGTTTTAGTTGAGCTTGCATGACTGGGTACAATTGTGTGTTTTGGCACTGCAGTGTTTGCAATTTTTCTCTCAGTATTTTATCTTTTATCAGTGACACAAACCCACCACCCAAGGTGGCAATACACTAACAACTTTTGTGTTCTTGTGGGCTAAAATGATTTTTAAGTACATTGGAGTCTATTGATGTGCTTAAAAAGGGAGAGTTACATTTTGGAGGAAAACAACTATGTAGTGAAGTAAGTACAAAGTTATATGAATATATTGTAGACTTGAAATAACCTAAATTGCCTGGCAGACACCTTTTCAATGGATAGAACTTATGTGGGCTTACATTGTTTCTACCAGCAGGGGGCATGCAGAGCAGATTCATCTAGTCTTCATATAACCACATTTAAAAAGATTCTTGAACATTTCCTTTAAACATACGTGTTATAAGCGAACTGTAATATAATATATCAGTGAAAGTTGACTGACTGAGACTGATAGCAGTTTGCTGTGTAAGTTAACAATGTTCTTAAGTTGGAAGATTTTTTTAGAAATTTTATTAAGAAAAATTAATTTTATTAAGAAAAACTTAATAAAACTGCAACAGAACACAACAATCACTGTGCAGACGATGCCTTTCAAAAGCTCCACAACTTGATGTCTGTTACTTGTTAAAATTTTGTGTAGGTTTTTCTACCTTTACTGAAACATTTTATGAATTAAGATGTTTATATTTGCCAAAAAAAAAAAATCAGTCAGTGTTTTGACTTTTTCTCCTTTTGCACAAGCACTTTGACTCATCCTTACCACCAGTTTGTATAAGAGAGAGCTTTTTTTTCTCATGTTGTATGAGTGAACTTGTAAAAAACTTGTGAAAAACTGTATTTTACCTTTTTGCGGTTGGATTGAATCCAGCTATTTGTTTTTGCCTGACGTGCCTACAGTAAGTACGTGAATTTTTTTCTTAATTACTCATTAAAAATATATAACTACATCCAATTATCATTTGTTTCTTTTTAGCGCTCAATGCATGCAAATATCCATAAAAATAAAAAGTCCCCGAAATGCCTTAAAATGCAAGACTATGTCCTAAAACATGCTGCCAAGTGAATATTTTGTGTTTAAAAGTCCAAAAAGTATTTTATATGAATATTTCAAAAATCACCCAAAACATGCCTTACTATAGCCTTACCATCGTGAAAATATCCATAAAAATAAAAAGTCCCCGAAATGCACTAAAATGCAAGATTAGGTCCTAAAACATGCTGCCAAGTGAATATTTTGTGTTTAAAAGTCCAAAAAGTATTTTATATGAATATTTCAAAAATCACCCAAAACA